CGGCGACCAGTGTGCGGTGTTCACAACAAAGAGGCGCGCAGTGCGGCAACCAGTGTGCGGTGTTCACAACACAGAGGCTCCCAGTGGGGCTACCAGTGTGCGGTGTTCAAAATACAGAGGCTCGCAGTGGGGCTACCAGTGTGCGGTGTTCACAACAAAGAGGCACGCAGTGCGGCAACCAGTGTGCGGTGTTCGAAATACAGAGTCTCGCAGTGCGGCGACCAGTGTGCGGTGTTCGCAACACAGGGGCGCGCAGTGCGGCGCGCAGTGTGCGGTGTTCATGAAAGAGCTTGCATACTTTGGGAGAAGCATACGCAAATTCCACCAAGCCTTCGCCAATTACAATACCAAGATAGTTGCACTCCAACGTCCTGATGGAACAGTTAGAGCTTCCATAAAAATAATGGAGAGAATCGTCCAAGATTATACTCTACCACTTTACTCTAAGACTACTCGTATCTCTTCAGTAGCCACGTGTTTATACTTTTATGAGAAATAAAGAAAGACGATTTGTCGTCCCACCGGTTATCCCTTCTGATATCCTACATGGTATTCCATTAGCAAAGAATCGAACAACATTAGGTCTGTGTACAGGGTAAGATATGAACGCCTGGAAATTTTTCCACCTTCCCTCATAAACACAGCAAATCAGCTTTTCACTCGGAATGCAAAGTTCCTACTCGGTGAAATATAGGCAGAACCGTGCTACTGTTCGATCTAAAATTTCTTTAATTTCTTTTCAAGAGATAGAGTAATTCTAATCCAGATTTTGCTGAGTGTTCTCGTTTCAGAACACACTATTACAAGGCACATCTGCTTTGTACGGTGCATGCGAAGTTATTCTCCTGTAATGATTGTTTTCGTTACTTCACCTTTTAAACCATTATCAAGTTATGGACGGTGTGCATTCCGACTGGCCACTGTGAGCTATACTGAGGCAGTTTCGGCTGGGAAAAGCTCTATTCTACACCTAGAGATACGTGCAGAATACTTCCTCGAAAGATTCACTGACCCCTACATTGAGTAAAAATTAACTATTTGTTAATGAAGCCAGTGATAATCTATTAAGAAATTCTCAACGTAACAATCATTTTAAAACCGACTTTGCTTCAACGCTGTCTACTCTAACGCCTAATATTTTCACATTCTCCTGTAGTGTCAACTCTTTTTTTAGATGATGACCTACCCTACTTGTGCCCTACCTGCGTAATAAGCACGTTATCGAGGGTACAGAAGAAACAACGAACAAGTGAAACACATTGACGGGACTTCTCAATGCCATTTATCCTTAAGGTCGAATTCGCCCTTGCGAGATTTCTCAAACCAGCGTCGCACCATACATTTGCTAACATTTCCTTGGCATATTACGGATTATTTTTTCAAGCTGTTTGCACCGCTCATCTTACGCTAAACCTTTGAAAAATGGCAAAAGTGGGATTTAGATCACAGTTTAACTAAATGCAGCGAAAACCCATGAAATGGCGTTTGCACTAACGTGGAATAGTACAACATTCGAAAAAATCCTTGGTAAAACATTCGTGAGAAAATAAAATTGCGAAGCAGACATTAATTTCCGAACAGCCTAAGAATATAAAGGGAAAGCGCTTGGCGCTGATCAACCTTTGAGTGGTGCGCCACACATTTGACTTCATTAAGTATGGTTGGAGGTGACTGAATGCGTATCAATTCTTCACAATAACTCGCGGTGGCCTACCGATGTATCGAGCCAGTGCTGCAATCCTCCCAGACAAATTTGGTACTAAATTGTCGACGCCGGAGTGATGGAAGACTTGATAATCCTTGAGTGCAGAGATCGAACCCATATGTATCGCAAGACGCCTCCGACCACTGTGCTAAATGGTCCCAAGAAAAAGATAATTTGACTCAATAAATCTCAGATACGTAGTTAGTCGAATAATCGATCTGGACGTATTGTGTTCATTCGTGGTTCAGTGGTTTACAAAACTTTCTTTCATACTATCTCTATTTATTAGACAGTTAATCGAAGGGAAAGCAGTTTAGGGGCGGGCTAAAGAGACCATTTTCTACATTTAGTGATTCACAAAAAACTACTTGTTGGATAAGTTTAAGGACCAGTAATTTAGGAACACGTGTTAACTGCTTTGTAGCTCATGTTGTTTCCATTTCTACACATTTTGTACCCGCCGATTTTATACGATAACTATAACTAATTGTGGCGATTGAAATTGAAATTTCAGTCGATTGTTACTCAATGTACTCAATGCGCGGGTCAGTGAATCTTTCGAGAAAGTGTTCTGGGCATATCTCTGGGTGCAAAATAGAGCTTTTTCCGGCCGGAAACTGCCCCAGTATAGCTCATAGTGGGCAGTAGGAATGTACACCGTCAATAATTTGTTAATGCCTTAAACTATGAAGTAACGGAAACAATCATTTCAGGAGAACAACTTCGCATGCACCGTACAAAGCAGGTGCGCCTTGTAATAATGTGTTCTGAAACGAGAACACTAAGCAAAATCTGGATTAGAATTACTCTATCTCTTGAAAAGACATTAAAAAAGTTTTAGTGGAAGCAAAGTATCTAGGTTCCAAGAGATCTAAAAATCAGCACCGTCTAGTGCTGTTGTTGTTCTGGAATGCCTGTTGCCGATATGTTTTCAGATTTTTGTCACGTAGATCATACTGTCACTCCCTATCCATTTCGAGACTGACGATTTGAACAAGCGTTTTTGACAAATGTCTCCACAGACCATGAACGCAATTATATATTGAATTTCATAAAAATAACCGAATGATATGCTCTTTATTCGATGACTAATTCATCTTTGATGTGACACTGCAAATCCCATGCGTCTTTGCCCAATGTCGAAGATGTTGCAGAATTGGCGGATGAATGGAGTGCCGAAAATCCAATTCGATCCGAAACCAAGGAAATCAATCCCAGAAAGAGCGAAATAGCATCTGTTTCTTTTCACCTAAATTTGAAGTTCACTTAGGAACCAGCCGCAATAGTAAACAGAATGATGTTAGAAGATTTCTAGAAAAAATACCTTAAAAAAAAACAGCACTGGAAAAGTAAACAAGTAGAACGGAGCAAAACTTGCTTCAATAACGTAGTTAACAGGCTGTATAGCATATTTATGTTCTCCGATTGTAATGTCAAGTGTGGGTGGCGTGGCACCACATTCAATGACATACAAATCCTCACTAGCGTTATCTAAAACGAAAAAAGTCGGTGGAATTTTATACTAATCCTGAAAACTGGAAGATTCATACGGAAGCTCCTCCAGCTCTTGCGAGCATGTCGACGATAGCGTCTGGTCCCCAGATGAACATTGTACCGGTGTCGGCTTTGGCGTCAAAGGCCTTTGTATGCGTGTAATTTCCAATTCCGATAGAGAATATCTGAAAATTTTCACTTTACACACGATGCAAATTTTAAAACTACTATGTGTGGACAACTATCCTTAAACTGATAGTAATCTGAAGATGAAAGAGGCTCATAGGAGGTAATTGGTCCACAGTTTGTGGTGTCAATGGCGCCGTAGGTGACCAGGCCACTCATCGTTTGCTGCCGTTTTCCTCGGTGTTGTATCCAAACGGTGAAGAGTGCGTTATCCAGTAAACCTTAGTATATTGTAGATGCTAAATATCGCTAAGAACACGTACAGTTTTTGCAGTTGTACTCTCTCACCTTGCTCAATGGCATTTATAAGCGGAGAAAATACTTGGTACTTGGTGAAAGACGTAAAGGCGAGGCCAAGAATTCCATCAGCGCGAACCTGCAACGAAAGGTTATATCATTGTTATTAAAATTAGAAGATATTCACAAACTTTTTCCAAATTTGAAGAGATATGGTTGGCTAGACCGAAGGTGGTATTTGAAACGGCCAGTTGCTGTTCACTGAAGCCTCCAAACTAAAAAAAAACATAGTAGGTAAAAAAAAATCTCATCGTTCTTTAGCTGCGTAACTAACCTTCATGGTGTCAATTCCGAGAAACCCTTTCGCTTCTCCAGTGCCATACTTGATGCTCCAGGTCTTATTGGTTTCCACAAATGTGCTCGATAAGACCCAGTCGAACTTGTGCTTTATAAAACACGACTGACTAAAAGCAGTTTAGACCATTAGATTGCAATAGCGTTTATTAAATTTCTTGCATGCAATGCCAAAATAGCATGCATAGCCATCCAAGTGCAATTACAATTGGAAAAAAACTAGATATTTAGATCGGTAAGTGTCTCTAAATTATTAAATGCTAAGCCCTGGACTTTCATCCAACGGCTGTATAATTAGTGAGTTTTTTGGCGGAAAATGTTTTACATGTTTTCGAACAAAAGAAATTGGACAATAAAGGCCGAGAAGAAAGTATGGTTTCTGGTTACTGTGATGCCAAGCACTTACTCACAACGATATCCCGGCACCCAAAGATCCACAGATCCCGTGTCGATTATAACTTCAAACTGTTGGTCAGGTGTACCAATGGTAATGTTACCAACGAACTCATGTTCTCCATAGAGCAGCGCCTTAACCAAATGTATGATTTGATTCACTATTGAACGTTGTATTTGCTTTACGAATCTCGTCGTCTTAACACATGTCGGAGGTCTGGCATTCAGCATCCTGGTCGCTTCTGACGACGCCTAGTTTTTAGCGTTCAACGATATGTTAGTTCTTTGAAAATGAACAATAATCAAATAGTTGAGAGGTAGTCAACATGACATAAGCACATAAAGCAGCAGCGCAGCGCATAACTTTGTCCTATGCTTCTATGTATTTATGCCGCCATTTTCTACGGATTGTTATTGCCCATAAAGTAAACGCCATGCTCCAACTGCTTCGAAGCTTATGCTGTGTCTAATTCCTTATTTTTGTACTAAAGCAATTCGATACGGTAACCGCGTTCATCATAACGACGAAAATGAAACAACAGCTGATTGTTAGTTATTTTACTGCTAAATAACACTGTTCGAAAGAAGGTTTTTTGCTAGTCATTGAGTCTAAATAATGGCTTTTCTGATCACATTTCTCAGACGTCGATTTTCTTTCGATTAGCTAACGAATGAATGTAAATAGTGTAGAGAAATAGTTCGGTAACCCGTTGAGCAGTGAAGAGACACTTTATGTCCAAGTCGTCCTGTGGCATCGCTACGTTTGGGCCTAGACGTCCGTTATGTGGTAATTATCGAGTGAATTGACCGAACACCAGTAATGTCCCATTCGATCCACATTCTCTCACTCCAGGGTGAGTTATAATAATGAAGAGTCTGGTGACCCATTCTGGTGTGTATATACGTTTCTGTATTCATGGAAAGTGGGCGTAAGCACTTTCCGTTTACATGGCATTTACGTGACATCAGACTTTTAGAACAATAAATACGCATGACACAATAAACAAAGGTAACCAATTCTAAATAAAATATGTTAATGCGTATTACACCGAGTCTACGAAATCGCCCGTGTTATCCTCTTCATTTGCTGTAGAGAGGCTACTATAACCGTTAGACTATTTTGGTATCAAAATAATTCTAAATAAGTCTTCAATCCAAAGCAAAGTACAAATAAAGGAATGTTAGAATAGCCCTGAAGTCTTTGAGAACCCCTGCTTTCACGCTCAAACAACAGGCTAGTTTTGAGAACTAACACCAAACCTATCGAAGTATTTGTTCATTTTTCTCGTGCTTCTATCTTGTACACATCTTTCGCTCTGTTTTCGCACCTTTCGTTTTTTTTTCGCGTTATCTAAACAATTGGTTGTTGTGGTTAGTTAAAATTGCCAGCCACGTATCATTATTAGATATGTAACTATAACTCAAAGGCCGTTCAGGAATAGAATAAATGGTCTTGCACACATGTTTTGTGAACTTAGACTTTACTTTAGATTGATGATTATGGTAAAAGTTGCTTACCTGCTGTCCAATAGTTTTAAGTGATGACCAGCGTACAGCATTACGGTACTTGACGTATGCAGCATACTCGCCTCGTTCGATCATTTCTATCTGTTTGAAGAGATGGCTTGGACAGTTTCAATGTTCTTCAAATCAATGTTGGTACCATTTTTGGCTTGCGCCATGTGAGGGCTTGCTGAAGAACGGCCGCTGTTACTATCTCTACAATGAGTAGAAGAATGATGAGGCGCATCTGAAGAGCGAAAATGTTACTTGTCTAGAATCATTTTTTATTGCTTGAAGTGCTCGTGATGTGGAAAGAATATCGAGAGAGTTTTTGAACCGGGTCAACATGACGATTGAAGGAATAATTGCAAAACCTTAAAGAGTGCAAGTAAATGTTCCCTGGTGGTCCAAGGATTGTGAAAGACTACTTCAAGTCTTATCACAGACACCCTTTACACGCACTTTAACTGATATAGTTCATTATTTCTGATCACTTGTCCATAGAAAAAAGTGTGGACTCGTGTGACTGATTAGTACGCTGTTGACAAGACTTTGCATGTTAAAAAAGCTAGATGAAGCATTAAGCCAAAGCCAAGTCCATTCACAGAAAGGACAACCATCTGACTGCGTGGGTGCATGCTGAGCATGGGTACGCAGTATCGAATGTGAAGCAGTAAGGGAGTTGAACTTATATAAGCAATAATTGCCTTACAGTCAGTTTAGTGTTTGCTACTCAATGAGGCATCAAATCATCTATATTGACATTGCTGTCACTCTAAAATACAGGGTGTGATAAAACCGGTTAACTTCGCACGGTTTTTGTTAGGCATCTCTAGTACTGGTAGCTCTTTTTTTTTTACCGAAAATTCGAGTTCCAGCAGTATAACAACGGTTCCTGAGGTCGTCTTCTTGTTTTGCTCTTTATATGACTTGAGACCCCACCGTTAACTTCTGCTGTCAACCTGTTGTCGCTAAGAAACGTCAGTAGATCCATCGGTTGATCTCCACCTGATTCTCAACATCGTGGGGCACGCGACAGAGTCTCAGAGCTTTCATCATCGCCGTAGTTGGTAATGTTGGTTTCCTATTTTACCATCGACCTCCTCGAGCTATCTCTGCTGAGTACAAATTAGCCGTTGAGAGCACGATAGATCATTGGCAACGTATCGAATCCACTAAGACCGTTTCATGGGGTTTCAAGCGAGAATGTTTTCACTGAAATCTTCTCGAAATTGGAGAGTGGTCATGCTGCCTAAAATGCCTTGAAGTTTACGGCACCATGTGGTCAAGATAGAAACAGTGGTGTCAACAAAGAAATGATGACATAGTTGTCGACCATAAACATTTCCTTTTATGGTATTCTGTTACACTTTGTTCTTCGAGTAGAGATGTAAACAAATTTTCCAAAGGTCGTATCGTCTCATCAATCCTTCTCTTTCAGTCTAGCAGAGAGTAGTTGCAGAATGATAAATTTCTGGTTTAAATTTCTGAACTGGCTAACAGCTTGTAGAATGCCATTGTGTGCTGAGCAAAGACACCTAAGTTCTGCAAAGCTTTCATGATCGCCGTTTTCTAAACAGAGTCGAAGGCCGTTATTCATCGGACAAAATAAGAAAACCGGTACGTTGTACTCTCACAGTATTTCACTGAGTTTCGCCGTCACGTGCATACGATCCATTGTGTTGACCAATATTCGGAACCCCTTCCAACATTTCTTAATGCTGTTGACGAATTGAGTGATCAGCCTAGCCTGCGGAGCGCTACTTACCAATGTCGTGTGAGCTTCTCTTTTCACCGATTAGCACAGTTTTTGATGACTATTCAGTGATTTTGGACCATGTATTCTAACATGAGAATTCAGGCCGATGTGTTGATAGAGACTGTTTGTACATTCTTAAGTGGTGTGAAAATCATAAAATATCTGCTATTTTCATATCTAACTTTATGCAGTTGAAATTTCTAAGGGTTTTAGCTGACAAGAAAGGATGTCGAACTTCGAAAACAATAGCCATTAATACAATATATCAACACTCTCCGGACTAATATGAAGAAATGAGGACGTGAGTATCGAGAAAATCGTTGTTTTGGCAACCGTCTTGGTCTCACTATGCTCTGATGTATGTTGGTTATTGCCTGTGATTAACGCGACTCCACTTTGGTTTATCACTTCTCGTATGTCTGAGGGCAGGCATTTCTCGATGAGCTTCAATATCTTGTTTTTTTTTCTTTAATAAGATTGTCGGTGTTTGGAATGCCGCTTGTGCATCTCATGCACCTCATTGATCTCGTTGATGGCATCTTCCTAAAAGTTGGCTAAAAGTCTGGGCAAGGCCCAATTTCATATCATCCTCTTCTTTCGTTCCTTAGATTTCCTGAAATTTTTTTTGTCGAGGTAAAAAATGTAGAAATTCGTAAGAAATAGAAAATGCTCCATTTCAGTGTAGCGCCTTGCAACATCGATATCGGCTGGAAAAAAATCATCGAGCACACATGATGTGGTTCGAGATATAAAGATGACAACACAGGGTAATTGTTCCGAAAGACAAATTGCCCTCAGTCCTATTGACTCGGATAATGTTGACTCAGTTTTCGAGAATCCTTCGAAGTGATTTGTTATCGCATCTTAGCGAAAGCTCTTCCTGAGTACCGAATTCCAGAGCTCCGGTATAGACATTTATTCTGTTCTTCACCGGTCACGGCCACTTTGGTATATACACTCCTTAACGGCATTAGTCTCTTACCGCAAAATTAACTTGTGCAAAAATTGCTTTTCGAAGTTTCTAAAAGAAGAGAACAAATTTTCGGAGCCGCCTCCGCAATAAGATTCGTGTTGGACAACCATGGACTTAGGAGGAACCTTAGTAGGGCTTCAAACCCGCGATTACCATTACTGGGGATCGCTTGCTATCCACCACACCAACCGAGGGCCTTGCTTCGGTTTTTCATTTTTGCCTTTCACGGCCTTCATCTGCCTTACCACCTAACCTCAGTTACGGTAATGCCCGCGTTAACCGCAGTCGTAATTATTTGGATGAAAATAATCTTCGCACGCACTTTATTGTTCTTTTATACCATCGATTTTAACAAAATTAGAAACAACCATACATAGACAATGTAATGCATATAAGTTGTGTTTAACTTTGGAGATATCTAAATTAACAACGCATGTTAAAATTCTTCATTGTGGGCGATATGAATAATGAAATTCTTGTCTTCAGAATTTCATCGATCAGAGACGGATGTCTATAGTCGAATGCCGTTGATGTCAAGTGATCTTCAGAGTTCTGTCGTGTTCATTGCTGACAGGTAAAGTGCACAAGCGCGATAACTGATCGAATCGAGTCTGCATCCGTCCGTGGAAAATACTGGAATTTGAAGAACGAACAACGAAGAGCATAACAAAGGCTTGTTATCGTGAGAAGAAGAATAGCGATCTTGGATGATATGAACGTTTAATCATAATTGCGCTCGGACTGTTCAGTACCCAAAAATAGTCCACGTATTCCTAATTTTCATTGTCAGCAATCCCATCATTCAAAACACGTGATGCAACGGGTGTGGGAATCAGATGCCTGTTGTAATTTGGCGCTGCTCTCGTTGTATCCAATTTACGGCTTTACGAGATAACAAATCCATTATTCTAATCAAATGATCCAGTGACTCGGTGAATGGTCAAAAACGTTGCCACGCCAAGATGATGCTGAGATATTTGCAAAACTCCGAACTGCAGGTGTCTGTGGTGGTGAACGAACGCGTTATTGTCTTTCCCGGGGAGTAACGCGTTCACCATCGCACCATGCGGGTCCTTCGTTTCGCCTGTCTCGCAACTAGTTCTATCGATTAGCGCCACCAGCAATCACCCGTCAACAGGATTGATCTACGGAGTCCAAATCGGTAACGAACCTAGTTAAGCTGAGACCGAAGTTGAAATCATAATCTTAAACTTTTTACTTACTGCATACTATAATTTTTAACGGTAGGGTATCATGTGAAATACAACTAAGATGATGCTTCATCCTCAGCTTAGCTAGGTATGTTGCCGATTTGGGTTCCATAGATCAATCCCGTTGACGGGTGATTGCTGATGGCGCCGATCGATAGAACTAGCTGAGAGACAGGCTAAACGAAGGGCTCGTATGGTGCAGTGGTGAACGCGTTATCCCCCGGAAAGGACAATAACGCGTTCATTCCCACCGCATACGTCTGCGGTCCGGAGTTTTACAAATATCCCAGCATTATATACGAGTTATATTTTCTAGTATATATGCACATTATTAAGTATGACTAATACATTCTGATATCGTGGAACTATCACGAAGTTGCCGCAAAGCGTTTATTCGGCTAGGCTTTCGGTTTAGGGGTTCGGGGTTACTCACCAAGGAAGCTAGCGTTTAGGCAAATTTCGCCTTTTCCGGAGCCTGCAGGGGTCAAGCTGATTTCAATCTGGTAAGCCGAACATTTCCATAAATTCAGCTTAATAGAACTCGACAACTACTTCTAATCGCATGAGAAATAGCCTTTTTTGAAGATACTCAATCATTTGTCCATTATAAGTTTTCCTCTTTTGACACACAACAACCGCATGGAGATTACACGGATCGACAATGTTCCATTCTAACAAAAAAAATGTTTTAAAATACGAAAAACTGTTTTATACCTAAAACATTCCATTTTTTTCTGAATGCATACTTTAAAATACGTCATAGCTTCGGGAAAGCACGTCACCCTCCCATGTAAGCTCTGTGTGGCCGGTCTCCGTCAATAAGTGTCTAAGACTCAGTGCATCGTTTCTTTGTTCAGCAATCGCGGTATTGTTATACAGCATACTTTACTTCCATAGAAAAACACAATACAATGGAATACACCAGTAGCTGACGTTTCGGCAGTATCGCCTTCTTCAGAGCCTGGAAGGGTATACTGATATACAATCTACTAGGCCAAACGATCCAATAACACTTACAAAAAGACGAAAAACTTTATGGTAATTACATAATCAATAGCTTTTCGAAAAACTCACTGCCTTTTTCGTGAATTCCAATGAGGAAGATTAGAACAGTTGATTATAGTCGCATATGGTTGACAACTTCACCACCTCACGTCAAAAATTGATGCGAAGATACGGGGTCAGATCGCGTGTGTCATCTGGGCATTCCTCCCTTCTATTCATTGTAGGGATTTTGGCGCTTATCCAAAAAACCTCAAAAAGTTTGCGCTTTGGTGTTTTAATCTTCAGAGCGAGGGTAGTGACTTTTATATCAAAATCGTCTCCGCCATGCTTTTGTATCCTATGGTACATTGTGCTTGAACTTATGCAATCACCATCCCTGCCGTAAGAGCAAATCACGAAATTCGCTGTTTCACATAAACGGTCATACAGGCGGTTACGAACTAGCAGACGACGTAGAGTAGCCGGTGGTATTTCATCTATCGCTACCGGTTCCTCAAGTCCTGCCCTTCTTAAGCACTTTTTTATAGCTACACTTACTTCATCGCTAATAAAGAGCAATATAAACGGGATCTTCTTTTGGCCAAGTGTTTCGTTTGGGCGCGTCGCTCTCCTTCTAAACCTATCTCGTTAGGTTACTATTTCGTAGCCATTAGAGATTGCTACTTGCCGAGCCAAGTCGCGCGACTCTTCCTTAAGTTCCCTAGTAGTGCACACATAGGTGACTGGTTGAAACACATTTCTCACAATCGCCCACTTTGTGTGAAGAGTGGGAAGAGAGGGAATGAGCAAGGATGTTATTATTACTTTGTTTTCGGTGCCTCTTTGTCATGTAACCTCTATCTGATTAGTTAATTTGAAAGTTGGAGGATGGAAGCCAATTTCCATTCTGTTTCTTCCGGGTGAATTTAATGTACTCAAACTGCTCAGTGAATAATTCAAAGCAATTGTCCATCTCCTCTTGAGTGGAAAAAATGACAAACCAGTCATCTATGTACCTGCAGTAGAGTAGCTGCCGGAAATCGATAATAGGGGCTTCTATTTTAGACATGAATGTAATATCGAGAGATAGTGCTAACCGCTGCTCCATTTCCGGCCCTCTAATTTGCCCGTAATCCAGACCATCTGAAAATCGAGCAGTTTAAACACTCCTTTAAGAGAGCCGCAGACTGCTGAATAGTCAATTCATGCATGTGTATTCCTCCTTCATGTTTAATGAGAAGTTTGTGAATGGCTTGAATGCAGAGTCATTCGATACGTTGGTGCAAAGCGCGGAAAAGTGGAAGGACTCCATAACGTACGCGTTGTTAGAAGAAGCGTAACGTAGACGTTCTAGGAGCATTTGGATATTCATGAAGTGGGATGGAATATGGTTAAGCAGCTGGGTGAGTATCTGGGTTAGAAACCATGTTAATCTATCCGTTGGTTCGTCTGCTCAACTGATAATGGGTCTAACATTGTAAGGTAAAGGATTGGTAGACGCGAGATCATCAGCCGATACTAACTTATGTGTTTCAATAAACAAGTATAAAATGTATTTTTATATATCCGTATAAAAGAACACTTAGTTGGCAAACGAAAAGCAATGAAAACTAGCCAACTTGGCCCGCATAAAATACAAAAGCATAGCGGAGATGACTTTGACGTAGAAGTCGCGATCCTCGCACAGGAGACTAAAACACCAACGCGCAAACTTCTTGAGGCTTTTTGGATAAATGCCGAAAACACTGCAATGAATAGCAGGGAGGAACTCCCAGAGGTCACACGTGACCTGACGCCCCCACACCTTTACATCAATTTTTGATGTTAGCTGGTGGGATCAACGATATGCGACTCTAATCACCTGTTCTAATCTTCCTCAGGAGAAGCCATGTTAAGAGCGGTGGATTTTTCGGGAAGCTGTTGATCATAGTTCCAGCTGTTGATAATGTGATTGCCATAGAGTTTCTCGTTTTTTTTATCTGTTATTGAAGCGTTTAGCCCGGCAGATTACAAATCAGTATACCCTTCCAGGCTCTGAAGAAGGCAGTACTCCCGGAACGTCTCAGCTACTGTTGTATTCTGTGTTTTTGTATGGAAGTAAACGTATGCTGTTTAGCAACCTCGCGATTGCTGAGCAAAGAAACGACACATTTATAATCCAATGCCGAGGTTAATAGAAAGTTGGTCCTGAGAAATGATGGTTTAATTCGTTATCATTGTTCACTTGATCTCAATGGGCTTGGGCAACAACGATTTCTTACATTCAACCCGTTTATCGCACCATTAAGAAAGAAATGACGAGCCTTCTCCCAAGTTTTTTCCTTGAATGGTATTTTTCACCAATGATGAAGACTGTCACCAAGATGTGCTTCTGTGTTAGTCAAATTCATGAATTATATGTAATCCTTCGCTCTGACTAGTAATTGACAAGCATAGTGTATTTATCAACGAATATGCTGTTACACAAGGTTTTTATTCCTGCTGTTTGGCCTTGGCGAAACCGACACGCTTCCGACCGACGTCATAGATATTACAGTAGGTGCGGATCCAAGGTGCACCGAGAATCCACTCGTATCCAGTAGTTCCGGAGTCAACCTCGAACAAGGCGAGAGCGCACTGAAACTGTTTACTTTTAATATTCAAAAACATTCAAAAAGGGAAGAAGCAGTGTGAATGGAGTGAAAACCTAAGTCCACCAATCGGTGACTAAAATTTGTTTCGACGATCCACTATGCAGTACATGAACAGATTCAGTACACCGCGCACCTCTTCATGGTATGAATGTTGTCTTGAGATCAAGCCTTTAATTCTGGCTTGAAAATGGGCCGGAGCGCTCGAGATTGTTATTTTCAAAAAGTCTTAATTTTAGTTAAAGAATTTCTTGATAAAGCACATATTCTTTCACCATAGATTACTCCTGTACAAAATTTTTGCTTCGCAGCTAATTCACTCACCTTTCCATCTCCAATTTCAATGTCGATCACGTACTGCTTGGATGGTACGTTGTACTCGACGCCGTTGATGGTAAACTCCAAATCGGGTTGTGCCATCATCGTCGAGCAGTCAACACTGTAGAATTTGTACTCAGTGTTATATATTGCCCTTGTCTGACTAACCACTGCCTCAACAACAGAAAATGGTGCACCGATCCACGAAGTACTGATGTCGGAGATAGCCTGCAGGAATAAGCCCTCTTTAAAAAGGCAAGATTTAGCTTTCAAATGTCGTACGACTTATAGCATTTTATGTATCATGGAAGCAAGTATGAGGATTCGAAACGAACTCATTACCTACGCACCTTATTTGCTCTTCTCCTCGAAAAACTACCAATAGAAAAGTCTTCAATAGTGAACTCCCAGTACTTTTCCGCGCTCAGTGGCACGTAGTGTATATCTGAATTGCAGTTGGCGGTGTCGATGCCTCCAAAGGTGATAAGGCCGTTATTGCCTCCATGGCTCATCTTTTCCTTAAAGTGTTTCTTCAAACAAAATAAATCTGAGTTAAACTGAAATCACCTATGTTTTACCTTTTATTTTCTGCCTACTACAATTTTCATGGCAATGTACTAAGCGAAATAGAACCACAACGTTGCTGAGATATTTTCAAAACCCTGGACCGCAGGTGTCTATGGTGGGGAACGGACGCGCTATTGTCCTTTCCGGGGAGTAACGCGTTCACCACCACACCATGCGGGTCCTTTGTTTCGCACGTCTCTCAGCTATTCCGATTCCTTATGGCCGAAAACAATTTTGCCTTCCAAGTCGGAAGAATTTACTTAAACTCATGTGTATTCCGTCACTTAGAATAAAGAAACGTTCTTGCCAAACACCCTTCGAACGTCCTCCATTACTTTTCGATTCATTTCGTAAATGTCGACCTCCAAAATCAAATTGATTGAACAAGTTTGTTCATTCTAATAGATGAGATTTCCTCTAACAAGACATGGTAGTGTTCAGAACGCGTTTTGAAGCGGACGACTGCCAGCTTACGTCAAATTTCCAACGCTTTTTTTGCCCTCCCTTATTGGCAATATAAACTCTTTAGAGCGATGGTCGAAATATCTTCTATAAGTCAGATTCCTCAATTTATAAAATAATACAGTTGAAAAAAAATCTAGTAGTTTTTGAAAAATAGACACGGTTACGCAAGTGTTTAGTGATTTCGAAGCCTGGAAAAATATCGCTAGTAGAATAAAGCTGTGAAGCTTTCCGTTCTGAGCAGGTACTACGATAGAAATACGATGATTTCTCGCTGGAAAATAACGCTAAACATTTTGTTTTTGGTTTAGAACGATTGCTTTTCTTAGAAACTGAAGTCCAAAGGGGATCCCATGTTTTCGAAGAGACCATTGAAGAACGCGCTTTTCATAGCATAATTTACCGTTGTGTTCAACCAGACGGTGAAGATGAGGTCATCGAGGTTTGAGAGGAGGTTTTGTATTGGTGTGGTAGCCTAAAACACTAAGCATTTCACTTTTGAGTCATCTTACAGCTGGCTCTTTTGCCATAAATGGCCATATTCTTGAAATTCCCGGATTCACATTGCTCATGGAAAGCGCTGGCCAAGCAAGGCCAATGATGCCGTCTAAACGCATGTAGCCAAAAATCTCAGCTATATCTTCTGCACTGAAGAACGCTTGCTGTTGGATTGTCACACCTGTAATGGTACTTGTAAGAGCACACTGTAAAGATATCTGTTACTACGTTTTTCAAAACGTGCATTGTGACTTAGTGGATTCATTTCCACTTAAATGGTAACATACAAGTGAGGAAAATTGGCAAATTTGTTGCATCCAGTCAGTAACAATCATTTAGCAACAACCCTCCATCATACCTCTCCAGAACAATGACAAAGTGTGTGATTCCAAATTCTCTAGTGACCCATTGTCGTGAAATGAACTGTCGCGGTGATTGCATCATTGAAGAAAACCGGTCGTTCTTTGTTGTCTCGTTAGAGTGACGTAAGTCGTTAACATAACGATATCACGGCATTGAAAACTTATACTTGATAAAGTGATAATATTCTAGAATACTGATCAAATTTGATCCGCTGAGTGTCATTTTATTGTCATACTCCATGCGCCCAACTAGGTGGCATACAGTATTGCGAAAGCGTTACCGGCTAAGGAGATGGTATCTTTTACGAGCGGTCCATCATACCATCCAGAACCGTATAAAACTATGATTGCGGTGTTCACTCTGGACAACGTTGACGATCTCGTGGTGTCGAATTTGTGTCTGCTGAACAACTTCTCTATGCCGAAGTAGCCACTGCAAACTCTTGTGGAGCAAGTTGCGTCGACCACCCAGAAGTCCGACGACCGGGTGTCAAAGGCCATAACGAGGTCCTGGACTGAAAGAGGAATGACTATGCTGCAGAACTCACTGAAAATGTCACTGATAATAATGACTAATGAGCAAGGTTGCAGCTAACTGCGACAGTGAGGTAAACTGGGTACATAATAACTTTCTCTGAATTCTCTTAATATCTCCCAAGTCTGACTTTCTATTAACTTCGGCATGGATTAAATAATTCTTTCTATTTCTGTTCAGCAAACACGAGATGTTAGTTTATTTCTTTGTTAACGTACAAGCTGACGTTTTGGCGGGTTTCGCCTTCCTCAGAGCCGCTTTCCATGAATCTTCCACTCAAAACGTCACGTGGAGACCAACCGCACAGAGTTCACACGGAATCGTTTTGATACGATATCCACGATATCCGATATACTCCACGTGACATTTTGAGTGGAAGATTCATGGAAAGCGGCTCTAAGGAAGGCGAAATCTCTTAATATCGTTGATAAAGGAATAAAGGATAAAGGAATCTTTATGGTGAAGCCGTTAAATGTGGTTCCCAAAGTACTATATCGGTTGGGCATTTGTCAATTTTCGTTTTGTTGCTAAATAAATGAAAAGGAACGTAATTCGAAAACTGCAGTCAGGAACCTCAAAAAATCTTCCTTTGGTGAATTTTAACCCCACGCATTTCAGCTTGGGTTATTTACAAAAGGCTCCATTGTAACTATTTTTCATCCTGCTTGAACGACAAAATATTTTTTGCAAAAATACTCTTCGCTTCCTTTCCCTTTTTTCCACATGGGATTTGAAGAAAGAATTCTTTGCGGTTTTCGTTCAGAAGTGCCAGTAACGATTTTTTCAAAAGCGCTCTGTGGTAGAAATTTCCGAAAGTTGAAATGGGGATGTAAAACCGTAGACGCCTTGTTCGAAATGGCGTTCGTCAATAAGTGCTCACCTGGAGTTCCGATCTTTACTTTTCCAACGTGGAAGTCATCATAGAAGTCCATAAGCGGCTGCGAATCCTCAGTGAGAAATTGGGCACGGAGATTTCGATTTCTGTATTTGTGATATATAGTTGGTATGTGATAAATGTGGAAGAAAGCTGACTTTTCCTAATATACACAATATCTTGAAGTTTTTGAGCAGTGCAATGCCTGAATTTAGAATTCATACGAGTTTTACGTCGCAGAGAAAATAGCCTATTAGCCAACGACTGGTGATTAAAATGAAGTTGATAGCAAGAGTTCTTCTCCCGGTCTCTATGGTTCCGTATGCTATGACCACTCGTATGCGATGCAGGAGTTTATGCGTCCCGGATTGAGGGTGGTGAGCAGTAACCCCGAAGAGCCGGTGCAAACTCGTTTTGTCGATCGCAGTTCAAAAACGGGTGCAACAATGCAACATTGTTGTTCACTCTGACGCAATCTGACTAGTTTTTTTTTTGAAAAAGTAAATGGAAACTTTGTTTATATACCCTACTTGAAGAAATGGGCTATGAAAGATCCCGTCGAGCGAGTCTCCATTTTCCAGGACCCAGCGAAAAGCACAACCACGAGTGTGGCGAGAACGATAATGATCTTCATTTCTGAAACCTGAGACGGGCCTCAAATAATTCACACATTTTAACTGGATTTCCATCGATAATAAAATAATATTTTTCCTAATTATTAGTCTTTTCATGTCTTAATGTGGCTAGTGTTTGGTGTGATTACTAGATACCACATGCATTAACAACACTGAGCATTGTACAGCAGACCGAATCTGGATTTTAATTGAATAATCAATAACTGTTTATTTAATTCATAACGCATAATGTTAAAGGTGACGTAAATTTTGTTAAGCTATTGTGAGTGGGAACATTTCATTAAGCGGAAAGCCAGTTTATATAGGAAGTTGTGCCAAAGAACAGCGAAGTATATGAGCACACAAAATTGGACGAATGACACAGACTTAAAGCGAGCGCTTCGGCTGTGATTAACCACCTGCCTTCAGAGAAAATATCTGGCCAACGGTCGTCGCGACAGTGCGGTGCGTCAATCATCTGGCATGTCATCCAAAATTTTAAAAGGCCAAATGGCAAACAGGAGTATGGTAAGGGAGGAATTAACGTATACACAACGGCGTCATATGGTGCCGTGTTCAGTGGTTCACAAAAGCTTTTATTACCACAGTTTTCGTATTCCATCAATAGCTTGTCAAACGTTAATCCAATATCAAAAGTGACTTGCGAAAAGCTTTCCTGTTCACTTAATAATTCACCAGAAAACCTTATTGTGACAGGATCATTGTGCGGCCAGTGAGGACTATTGTTGTTGAAGAGTATGCTGCATTGACAACTATGGTAATCGAATATGTACAGAAACACTTCTACTTGGACAATAAGCTCTGACACATGTGGGCAGTTTCTGGCTAGGATAAGACCAACTAGGGAGACCTTGTCAGAGTAGCTCGGTGATCATTAACTGTGCACCATCAGTGGGATTGAACAGTTTGGCATTCGAAGTATTTATCAACTATAACCACATTTTCGCTTTACATTTGTTTTAAAGCAAGCAGTTTACAGTTCAAAATATGCAAGTAGACGAGTATACGAGTAGTACATATATATATTCTACATTATATAGCACAACATTAATAATTGGTAACGATAACAGTTATAGCAACAGAAACTTGCAATTCTTGCTACTAGTTAAAGTTAAGGGAGATTTGCTTATATTGTTGAGCTTACACGAGGTTGATACTTAGTTACTTGAAACTTGAACGACCCGTCCTCACTGGCTGCACGGGCCCCATCATAATCTTCACTTTTCGGAGATTTGCTGGTTAAGCCATTGTGGTTCCATGAAATCCTGAGGACAGCCTTGCCAAAGTCTGCCCCAGGAGGTCTTCACCACTACAGGCTGTCGCAGCCCTTGTGGATCAGAGTGAGATTTGCCACTATGTGACTTCGATACCATCACAGTGGTGGATCCTGGTATTGATTTACTCTTAGCTAGGCTTCCTGACGGAAACGCCGGTCTCCTCAGCTTTGAAGACCCTACTGGGGGGACGAATCCTCCCGCTGTACATCGCGGTCCGACACCCAGGAACAGCTCCAGCTACAATGAGACGGTAAACCCTTGTGAGGTAAGTTTTGTAGCCAACTGCTTCGTACTTTATTTTAGGTATCTACGGGTCTTCTTCCATTTGATTACTCAGACGAACATGAGGTTGATACGAGATGTTTATTTGAGAGAGGAGATATTTATTCAGTTCAGTTTCAGTTTATTCGAAGAAGATTATTCAGAGATCATTCTTAGGTATCCGAAAGCAGTTAGAATCTTGGTTTAAACTTATTAAATAATGCTCACATAGAAGATTGTTTCGGCTATATATATATATATATATGTATATATATATATATAGTGCATTTATTTTATTAAAACATTCTAAACGATCACGTTTCCTACAGCGGTTGCCTGTGTTAGCTTGTTCAACACACACAGCAGCGCATTTCCGATTTTCCCAATTCGAATTTGCACAGTAAAATCGCTTCCGCTTTTCCGAATTTCGGATGTTGCTTTCTTCAACCAAAGAGTAGTCGACGGTATCAAGTACATTCGCAGCCAATATTACACAACTAGAAGTCCATCTTGAAGTCATTTAGCAAAGTTTTCTTCACGTGCTTTTTGTATATTCTCCACAGGCATGTTTGAGTAATCAAATGGAAGAAGACTGGTAGGTACCCAAGGTAAAGTATGAAGCAGATGGCTACAAAATTTACCGAAATACATTCAACGCAAGCACCTAGCACGGAGTAGCAGCGTTCTACTTCTAAATGGTTGAATCGAAACCACTTTTATAATTCTGCAACGTTCTTAGTTTCATAATCTTCTATGCGTCGATAATTCATCGTTTGTCGTCGAAACACCAGCAAAAATATATGCACATGCACGACGCCTGTTGATTTTGCAGAGAGCAGGCTGAACCAACCTATACAATGACTGATAGGGGTTTACCTATATATCACAACAGCCTTTTTAACATTTCAGACAACCTTAGATTTTCTAACCTCGAAAGAAGTCGACGTAATAATGACATATCGTATAGAAATGAGAACGAAAAAATGGCGCTATTACTACCGTCTCATTTTCCCAGAGCGTTCTTCGGACAGTAGGACCCGATGTTGAAATTGATGCCAAGTTTCGTATGTTTTCGGACGACATTCTCAAAGCCATTGACCACTATCGCGATAGAAACTATGTTTCTAACCTCATAGCTGCACAAAAATCTGGTATGCGAAAAAGGGGCATTAATAAATTCGAAGGCCATTAAACTATGAGTTAGAGATAAAGGGGGAGAGCTCGCGGTTATTCCTCGCCAGCTAGATGTTAAGATAACGGGGAAAAATCTTAGTTATACTACCCTTTATCGCCCGTCGTCTGAAAAGGAATACAAAAGAAATTAATGAATGGGTCACAATAGCAAAGGTGGTGCGCTTAAAAAATCTGTTACTTTGCATTATAAAATAGATAAACCAACATTTTCTGCTTTAGATTTGCTTGTTAAAACACATAAGCTAGAAACGGTTGATGATATTGTGTCAACCATAATGATCATTGTCCAAAAAGGGTAGACCCATTATCACCTGTGTAGACGAGCCAACAGATAGAATAACATGGTTTCTGAGCCAAATACTTACCTAGCTGCTTAACTATATCTCAGTCCACCTCACCAATTCCCAAATGTTCCTAGAACGTCTACGTAACGCGTCACCCAACAATGCGTACGTCATGGAGTGCGACTTCTTCGCGCTTTGCACCAATGTATCGAATGACTCCACAATGCAAGCTATCCTCGAACCTCTTGGTCAGCACAAAGGAACAATACATATGCATGGCCTGTCCATTCAACAGCTTATGGTTTTCTTAAAAAAGTGTTTAACTGCTCGATTTTTAGAATTCCTAGTTTACGTCCAATTATTACGGATTATTACGCGCAAATTAGAGAGGAGGGAATGGTGCAGCGGTTAGCACTAACTCTCGCCATTGCGCTTATGTCTAAAGTAGAAGCTACTGTTCTCGGTTCTCGACCGCTCTCTACTGCAGATATATAGACGAATGTTTTGTTGCCTTCTGTACTTAGGAGGAGATGGACAAATACTTTGGATTATTCCGTGAACAGTCTGAGTACATAAAATTCACCCGGGAAGGTACAATGAAAATTGGCTTCCATTCCTCAACGTTCAACTTAACTTATCAGATTGCAGCTATATGATAAAGTGGTACCGAAAACAAAGTAATAATAACATCCTTGCTCATTCCCTCTCTTCCCACTCTTCACACAAAGTGGGCGATTGTGAGAAATGTGTTTCAACCAGCCTATGTGCACGAAGAGGGAACTAAAGGAGGAATCGCACTAGTTGGCTCGGCAAGTAGCAATCTCCAATGGCTACGAAATAATAACCACACGGGATAAGTTTAGAAGGAGAGCGACGCGCCCAAACGAAATACTTGGCCAAAAGAAAGTCTCGTCTATGGTGCCCTTTATTAGCGACAAGGTAAGTGTAGCTATAAAACGATGGTTAAGAGTGGCAGGTCTAGAGGAATCGGTGGCGACACGTGAAATACCATTGGATACTCTCAGTCATCAAGTCAGTTCGTAACCGCCTGTATAACCGTCTGTGTGAAAACCAAGTTGCGTAGTTTGCCTTTACGGCAAGAGCATTGATTGCATGAGTTCAGGTACAATATAACTAACCTCTTGCAATAATTACGAAAATGAGTAGATTGGCGGAATGGGCGGACCTTTATATGCCCGCAAAAAAGAACACCTAAATGGCAAACGAAAACGAAGGCAAGCTACAAAACTTGGCACGCTATAAAAGAATACAAAAGGATAAAGGATACAAAAAAATAGCGAAGACGATTTTGATGTAAAAGTCATTATCCTTACACAGGAGACTAAAACACCAACGCGCAAACTTCTTGAGGCTTTTTAGATAAATGCCAAGAGCCCTACAATGAATCATCTGTATCATCGGTAGCCCCGTTGATCGTCGAGTGACTGTAGCGAGACCTAGTGAATCTTCCATTTTTTCCTGTCCAGTGCAAGAGTAGCCCAGTTAGTTTTGCTTGCTCTAGAAACTCGTCATATCTTTCTTCTAGGCTCTTCGTGAAGAACTCTGACCATCGGGTCGGTGGTCTTTCTGCAGTACGTATGACATCCCGAGGAATCCAGTAACTAACAGCTATTGTCCATCGGGAGATGGAGGTGGCCATCGAAGAGATCCGAGTAGTATTCGTGAATGACTTTCTCCATCGCCTTTCTGGATGCTGTAACTGTTCCGTCTGGGCGTCGGAGAGCAATCAATATGGTCTTGTGATTGGCGTAGCTTCGGTGGGCTTTGCGAATGCTTTTCCCAGCCTCCGCAGCTTCGGCCATTACTGCTGCTCTTCCCTCTCTTAGAGATCTTCTTATTGGGGGATCTTCTTTTATCGCCTCTCTGCATTGTTTTGCAACTTCGGACGTTAGTTGGCGGTTGCCTGCAGCTCGTGCGATTGCACTCTCGCGTATCAGCTCGAGCGTTTCTGGAGGCAGACGT